CATTTATAAATGGGTAAAATGATACGTTTCATTTGTGTTCATTTGAAATTGATCATTAACCTTTCTTCATTTTGAGATAATTATGATTGTTATTGCGAAGCAGAGGCCATTGTGTAGGCCCCAAAACAGTACACGTTTCATTTGTGACACAAAAGTTAAACTACCTATAGCTAGTTTGTATCAGAGACCTAAATATTGAGTCTCTGCGTGGTTAGGTTTTATTTGAATCAGAAACTATTTTATATATTATTTCGTAAAGAATGGTCCGTTTAATAAATTGAAAACATAGTCTACATAACCTGTTACGTTTACAAAGCGCAATTATAAACATAGGTCTATATGTTAGTAAAATTAGGTAAGAACATCAACATGTCTGCTTTTAAATTATAAGTGATATAGTCCTACCAAACTTATTTGACACCTTCAAAATTACCCATCGCTAATTGAGACACCTGTGGATTGTTCGGACTCGGACATGAATGCTAATCATGTCACGGCTGGGCGGCGGATCCCTACCACGACATCTCGCGTGTCCCTCCCTACCTGGTGTGAGCTGGGCAATAATTAAGGGAAGTCTGGTCGCAATTAAATAATTAAAATTCTTAGTTAACACCGTATTTTACAATACACGGGCGATTTCTTAGTTTGCCATACAGCGTGACATCAGTTCGTACTGATCGCATGTTATTTATACATTGTCAGGGCCTAAGTTGCAATTGGCTGTCTCATGCACGATGTATTTTCAAACAATGTAAAAAATGAATCAACGCTAAAATCTGTGACATATATCTATGGTTTGTCTGTCACAACTGTACTGCAACGCTCACACATACAACCCATTACCCTAAACGTATCTAATCATCAAGGTATTGGCATATTTCCGGGGCCGATCGCCGCGAGTTTTCAATGGAGTTTGCCGAAAAAAAATCTTACTTTACGTTCTTCATTTGACAAGTTTGGACTATCCGAAATAGGGTCAATCAGAGTTTGAACTATCATCACTAGCTAGAAAATTATTGTTTTTATTGAAAAAAATGTGTGTTTGAACCATCAGCCAATTCGAACTGACCGGAGGTTTACCGTATGTAAAATAACTATAGAAATGTAGTTGACAAATAATTCCTCCACTGTTTTGATTCAGATCTGTATTGTTTTGTATTTAATACAGGGAAGCATCAATCGTGTACTCTGTTTTGGTAATTTAATTAAACCAATAGAACAATTCACAACTAAAGCAGATAATTGGTGATAAGGAAATGCTGGTTTTAGAATATTTCTCAGTTACCATAGTGATCTAATTAACATCTGTCATCTGGCAATGCAGTGACCTTCAAGTTCAAATGAAGTCAATACAGAGGTCATGGGAAATAGACGATGAGAAAGGATCCCACTACTGAAGAGTGACAGCATCACAAAGTCACAAAATTAACTTGGATGCTAAATTTTCTTGTAAACAGATAAACTTTTCAAAGTGGCAGTTTGCCAAGTTCTGACAGTATAAACAGGTAAATCAAATACTGATGTGGAGAAAGCGTGCTGGTGCTGGGGATTAGATGTTTCCTGATGTAGATACCAGGTTAGGATATGTGTAACATTCTACTGATGGGTAGTGTGGTAATTTGTTCCATTTTTATCTCATTGAAGCCTTTTTAGACTCTGTATTTTCCCAAGTGGAGATTATCATTCGGGGAAACGGCACATTTATTGTGTTTGCTAAAAATGTAGAGAATGGTAATGTTAGTTGAGTGTTTTGAGCTACAAGTCATTGCGAGTTACTGCCTTCCTGTTTATCCCCACATTAAACATTTCATTGATATATGTTGAACCAACTTGTAATGAAGTGTTTAGATAAGTAGTTAATGAGGCTTAATTTCCTAGAGGAACATTCACATCTAAAAAATAAATATATCTTACAGAGGTTGTTGTGTAACTTAAGCTGGGGCTTGTGGAAATTGAGTGGTCATGGTAACTAACGGTTATCACTTACCTCCGGATCATCATCGGAGGTAATGGGATAATTGCTGCTCCGAGGATTTTTTTCCTGGGATTACCAACTTGTCATCTAACTTATATATAGCATCTCATCTCATCTAACTGCAGTCTAAACCCAGACGATGTTCCATTAGTTACATAATAGTTTGTGCAGTTTAAAATTACAGAATTCATTTCCAGAAAACAAATTCCATCCATTTTAATGTTTTCTATAAGGATGGATACACGATGTTATCGACAAAACAAGGTAGGTAAAATGTCTGGCAAGGATGTCAAGTCAATTAGCATGTGTCATTTCTTATACTTAGTGTCTGTTCTCAAGGGAAATATTGACAACCACTTGTCTTCATGTTTTATTGTAGTGGGTTATAATGTTCTATCAGACTGGGACAAAATGTGACATAATGGATGTTTGTAAATTGCTGTAACATATCAAAGATTATTGCAAACATCACTAGCTTTTTTCAAAATAAATATGAAATTGTTTCTCTTCTTGAAATATAGATTCATAAAATACAATGACAGTTATAGTGAGATCTACTAGTCAGTAGTTAGAACAGTAATATACTTAGTCCTTTTAATAGTGAGCTCTACTAGTCAGTAGTTAGAACAGTAATATACTAGTTCTTGTTAAAGTGAGCTCTACTAGTCAGTAGTTAGAACAGTAATATACTTAGTCCTTTTAATAGTGAGCTCTACTAGTCAGTAGTTAGAACAGTGATATACTTAGTCCTTGTTATAGTGAGCTCTACTAGTAAGTAGTTAGAACAGTAATATACTAGTCCTTGTTATAGTGAGCTCTGCTAGTCAGTAGTTAGAACAGTAATATACTATTCTTGTTATAGTGAGCTCTACTAGTCAGTAGTTAAAACAGTAATATACTCATCCTTGTTATAGTGAGCTCTACTAGTCAGTAGTTATAACAGTAATATACTTAGTCCTTGTTATAGTGAGCTCTACTAGTAAGTAGTTAGAACAGTAATATACTAGTCCTTGTTATAGTGAGCTCTGCTAGTCAGTAGTTAGAACAGTAATATACTATTCTTGTTATAGTGAGCTCTACTAGTCAGTAGTTATAACAGTAATATACTAGTCCTTGTTATAGTGAGCTCTACTAGTCAGTAGTTAGAACAATAATATACTAGTCCTTGTTTTAGTGAGCTCTACTAGTCAGTAGTTAGAACAGTAATATACTAGTTCTTGTTAAAGTGAGCTCTACTAGTCAGTAGTTAGAACAGTAATATACTTAGTACTTGTTATAGTGAGCTCTACTAGTCAGTAGTTAGAACAGTAATATACTAGTCCTTGTTATAGTGAGCTCTATTAGTCAGCCGTTAATACAGTCATTTACTTATCCTTGTTAAAGTGCACATTTTATGCATCAATGAGTAAAGCCTTTAATACACTTTCTTGTACAAAATTTTCTGTCAATATTTTGCTCACAACATGTCATGCATTAAATTAAATTTTTCTCAAGGACCATTCTAAAAATGGTTAAAAAAGCAGAATATCTTGTTTAAAAGTTCATAATACATTTAATTATAATTGACCTCCCAGGAAAACCTTCCGTATCTCATCCTGGCTGGAGCTGTAATTAGGTGGGAAAGACAGATTTTTTGCTTCTAAGGGAGATAATTTGCAATTCTCAGTGAAGTTTATGTCACTTCATATGGACATAAATTTCAAACAAAACTGTCTATGTGACATCCAGGCTGTCTGATGAGACTGGTGAATGTGTTAACATTTCCAGCAATAATCGCTTTACATGTTTGTGATACTGTTAAGACTGATATTACAAGTCTTTTATTGTTGTTTCCCACGTCTATGAAATCCAATGTGGCTGGCCACTAGGTGTCATCAGGGACTCCGATATTGGTGGTGGTGGCGGGACACCTGATTGGAGTCTGGTAGCCATCTCAATGGAGTTGTTTTATTTACATTTACTAACAATATTGTTAGACAAAATGTGTTTTACTCTGCTGCTGATCAGGACATCAATGGTGGTTGTGTCTGAAACTGCATTGTTAAATGTCTGATCAAGGTAACAACAGAAACAGAGGAGTTCTCCTATACTTTTATAATAACCAATGGTTGTATGGACTAAAATGACTTTCAAATTGTGTAATATTGATAACATTTCTATAACACAACAGACTATAACTCTGTAGTCTTGTCTTGATAAAACAAAAGGGCACATAGTACTGAAGTATTACTATATCTATCATTAAATAAAATGTATCCAACAGTTTCAAACTATATGGGCACATAGGGTATAAATGTTTGGAACTTTTGAACAAAATGAAAATACTTAAATAAAATAAAACTATTGTTGAAGAAAAATGAGTCGACTGACTTGTTTGTTTCTGTAGTGCCATTATTGTTCTGCTCTACATTGTGTTGAGGTAAACCACTAAACCTACTTTACACGGTTGTTAAAGTTTTTAGAATCTTAAAGAAACTTTGAAATTAACAGGACTATGTGCATGTTGAAACCTTCCTGGGAATTTAAAAACTGAGTTGAAGGTGTCGTTCAAATTACGAAATTCTAACATTTAAAGTTGTGTCAACAATTCTGCTTTGAACGAGACCACACTGCTGTTAATGTAAGGAGCTGGACCAGTTGTGTGCCACTCTCCTATTTTCCATTGTGGATACGGTCAGTGTATTGATTCGGTCAGCTTTTAGGTGAAATTTGAGGTTGAAGGAGTTATCTCCCATTGTCAAGGCCAAAATGATGCATGCTGAACATAAGCCAAGCGTTTCAACAAATCAACTCTAAAGACCTAGGAGGATTTGTACGGCAATGACCACCTAGGATTATCAGGGATAACCTCACATATTTTGTTTGTCTTTGATTTGACCTCAGATGACCCAACATATTATGTGTACTCTATGATTTGACCCCAAATGACCTTGATTATTTTATTGCTCATGAAATTACATAAAAAGATCTTTCATAATTTGCCTGAACTTGTTATATAATCTTTGATTACCTTGTGTATTTTTAGGTCTGGAAGTTGGGTCGACAAAGACGGGTGGTTCGTCAGGCGGTAGCAGCCACGGCAGCAGTAGTAGTGGTCGTCACAGTGACATCATCAACCAGCTGGGGGAAGGCTCTGACATCAAACAGTTCATGTCACCAGAGGTATGCATCCATACTTTCTAAATAAAAACTAAATGGATTGCTTAAATTTCAGAAGTATTTATTATGAATTCCACAGGTTATATGAATTTAAGGTTATCTGAATGACATTTCTTGCTGTTCTTGCAAAATTCCCTCAAGATTTATTTACATTATAATCTGATAAAAGACTGATATAGCTCCAAATGATTTTAAGTATCACCCAGAATAGTTTCCCGAACACACGAGGACTTCAGAATCTACTGAAAATGTCACGATGTTAAATGTATATAATGGTGTTTTACTCTGAATCTTCAGCATCTTCACTGACACGCTGTAGGCTACCATCATCAAGATACCTCCCTTCATACAACACTCTACCTTAAATTCTGTAACATATATTGATCGAAATCATATTGTACAGCTATGGTACAAGTATTTCTGTGATCTTCCACTTTTTGTAACCATGCAGCCTTGTGATGTTTTCAGTTCCTAGATGATGATGGCGCTGAAAGTGATGACAGCATACACACAATGACAGAAGCAGAGTCGCGCATATCTCACAAGAAATTTGGTGCTATACGAAAGGCAGGGTAAGGAAGATCAGTTTTTATGTTCATGGGATCAGTGAGACAGGGGAAGTAACTCTAGGAAGATCAAAGTGTGTTGATGGGATAAGGGAGACAGGGGAAGTAAATCAGGAAGATCAAAGTGTGTTGATGGGATAAGGGAGGCAGGGGAAGAGCTCTAAGGAAGATCAAAGTGTGTTGATGGGATAAGGCAGACAGGGGAAGTAACTCAGGAAGATCACAGTGTGTTGATAGGATAAGGGAGGCAGGGGAGGAGCTCTTAGGAAGATCAATGTTTGTTGATAGGATTACGGCGACAAGGGAGAAGCTTTAAGGAAGATCAGTGTATGTTTATGGGATAAGGGAGATAGGAAAGGAGCTCTTAGGAAGTTCATGGGATCATGAAGACAGAGGAAGTAACTTTAGGAAGATCAGTGTGTTTTTGAGTTGATTACGAAGACAGGGGAGGAGCTCTTAGGAAGATCAGTATATGTTCATGGGATCAGGAAGACAGGGGAAGTAACTCAGGAAGATCAAAGTGTGTTGATGGGATCAGGAAGACAGGGGAAGTAACTTTAGGAAGATCAGTGTGTTTTTGAGTTGATTACGAAGACAGGGGAGGAGCTCTTAGGAAGATCAGTATATGTTCATGGGATCAGGAAGACAGGGGAAGTAACTCAGGAAGATCAAAGTGTGTTGATGGGATCAGGAAGACAGGGGAAGTAACTCAGGAAGATCAAAGTGTGTTGATGGGATAAGGTAGACAAGGGAGATCAGTGTGTTTGTGCATTTAAGGAGACAGGTTAAGTTATTCTAAGTTTAGGAAGACAGGGTAAGTAACACTAGGAACACAGAGATTGCACATCGCTTAAAAAAACAAAGTTTTCTTTAAGGAGAAATAAAGTCAATAGACTAGTTTGAAACCATTTTCTTTTTGCGATGATACTAACACATGTTTACTTAAAGAGCAAAGGTGAGTGGATGCTATCTGAAGCTTCTTGAGATGAAATGACACATGAACTAACATAAAGTGATAATGTCAAGTGTCAAAACCTTTCATAAGTTTGTAAGTATGTGCATGTAAGATAATTTAAGGAGAGGTTGATACAAGGTGTTTAGATCAGCAACAGATTAATAGTTTAAATGTGTTGCTGTTTAAAAAAGATAAAATTATAATGTTACATTATAATAACTATAAATTTCCTTGAATGAAATGCAAGTAGACAATTTCTGACTGATGTTTTAAGCACTGGCTTTGACATTGTCTGTGAGACATACACGTCTATATTTGATATTCTGTAAATCCCATTGTACCCAATAGAGGTTGGTGGTGAAGCACTGGCTTTGACATTGTCTGTGAGACATACACATCTATATTTGGTATAATTCCCATTGTACCCTATAGGTGGTTGGTGGTGAAGAACTGGTTTTGACATTGTCTGTGAGACATACACGTCTATATTTGGTATAAATCCCATTGTACCCTATAGGTGGTTGGTGGTGAAGCATTGGCTTTGACATTGTCTGCGAGATATACACGTCTATATTTGGTATAAATCCCATTGTACCCTATAGGTGGTTGGTGGTGAAGAACTGGCTGACACAGAGGAAGAGGAAGTTGGAGCTGGCACCCAAGAGGAAGTGGAAGCGTTACTGGGTGTGTCTAAAGGGCACCGTGCTACTCTTCTTTGACTGTGACGAGGAAACCTTGATAGATGAAAACACAATCCCAAGGCATATTCTAGGTACTTATATAGCCCTCGATTTTGAATTCAACATGGCAGCAAATAATTCTTAATGTCAAATAGCACTACTAACCCAATCATCTCAAAACTGAAAAATTGACATTGCAGGAATTGACTTTTTTAATGCAAACAGCATTTGTTAACTTCCAAAGTGTTATTTGAGATTTTATAGATGAACATTTCATTCAAAAGGACCTTTTTCATTGTGAAAACCAAAAGAACTTTATGACTTTTTTATAAGAAAAGAAGAATACAATGAATTCTGGTTGAATGGCGTTACAATAATCCATTTGGGTGATATTAACTCTTCTGTCCTTATAGTACATGCATCTCAATAATTCCAAATATATAGATTGTAAAATTGAATGATCAGTTTTACAGAAATAGAAAGCCATAAAATATGGAAACTAATGTTGAAGGCCCAAATCAAATAAAGCAAATGTGTCGGTGTGAGATATGGCAAATACACTGTACAAGATGTATAGCTCCGACTTCTGTGATCAATAGCTTTCTTTCCCATGTATCACAGAAAAGTGCTTCTTTTAAAAAAACTGGGGTTATCTGAAATAAATTTCTAAAAATGGAAAAGGATTTAATGACCATCCAAGGTATTTTGTTTCAGAAATTGAAAAGTTCACCAAAAAAAAATTGATTGATACATGACACAGGTTTAAAAACATAACTGAATTGAAATAAACTTTTGCTATGATGTAGTGCCAGCAGACCAGCAACTGTCTACAAGGACATTTTAGAACCTTAAACGATAAGAAATCTGAGGATTCAACAACCAATTAATCAAGTACTTTTTTTCAGTCATTGAAGGGGGGATAACCCAGGCAGTCCCAGAGCATCCTAAGAGAGATAACATATTCTCCCTAAGCACTGCCTTCGGTGATGCCTACCTGTTTCAGGTAAGACAACTCTTTAAGGGAGTATCAGTTAAAAAAATTGTCAGAAAAAAAATTAGAATTGATTAAAATCATAAAGTTTGAATACAGGATATAATTCATTCAGTGATATATATTTGTATTGTTATATTTATGTTTAGACTTAGTTTTCTTATATGATGCTACAAATATTCAGGTGAATATCAGGCTATTGTGGCCTTCAGACCTACCTGTACTAATAAGAGTTTACTACTGACCTGATTAAGGAGCACCACCCTTCCTTTTCCAGGCTCTATCCCCTACTGAGGTAGACAGCTGGATTTGTGCTGTACATTCAGCATGTGCCTCTGCGTTTGCACGGCAGCATGGGAAGGACAATACTCTACGGCTGATGAAGAGCGAGCTACACAAACTGGAAACCAACATTGATGTGGTAGGTAGATGTGATAAAAATAGTACATATTACTGTGTTGTATTAAAAATGTATATTTATAAATATACATCTAAGTTATAAAACTGCATCACATTCGTAAAACGGCACATGTCATTGTTACAGGACGTGAAGATGAAGAAAATGGCAGAACTCCAGTTGACAGTTGTCAAGGATCCACGTAGTCGTCAGGCCATCATTAAACAGATCAGCCAATGGGAAGAGAACCTGGAGAAGCTATTTATAGAACAGTACCGCCTGCGATGTTACATTTCCTCTCTACAAGGGACAGAACTGCCCAACCCCAAGGTGAGCTGGTCACTAGAAATAGCTGAAATTTTCTGTTTGTTTTTTACTTGCTTTTATGAAAATATCTTTCAAATCATTTGCAAAAGTCTTCTGTTCTCAAAAATATAACAAGAAAATGCATGATTTTATAACAGATTTTGTTTTAGCTAGATAATGTAGTAAATTCCTACTGAATTGTCAAAAATGTAGAAAGCACAACTAAATTTCTAAAAAGTAACAAGTCCTGCTGTATTTTAAACTGTAACAAGCCTACACAATTGTCTAAACTGTAACAAGCCTACTGAATTGTCTAATCTGTAACAAGACTACTGAATTGTCTAAACTGTAGCAAGCCTACTGAATTGTCTAAACTGGTTAACAAGCCTACTGAATTGTCTAAACTGGTTAACAAGCCTACTGAATTGTCTAAACAGTAACATGCCTACTGAATTGTCTAAACTGTAGCAAGCCTACTGAATTGTCTAAACTGGTTAACAAGCCTACTGAATTGTCTAAACAGTAACATGCCTACTGAATTGTCTAAACTGTAGCAAGCCTACTGAATTGTCTAATCTGTAACAAGCCTACTGAACTGATTAATCTGTAACAAGCCTACTGAATTGTCTAACCTGTAACAAGCCTACAGAATTGTCTAAACTGTAACAAGCCTACTGAACTGTCTAATGTGTAACAAGCCGACTGAATTATCTAATCTGTAACAAGCCTACTGAACTGATTAATCTGTAACAAGCCTACTGAATTGTCTAAACAGTAACATGCCTACTGAATTGTCTAAACTGTAACAAAAGCCTACTGAATTGTCTAATCTGTAACCAGCCTACTGAATTGTCTAATCTGTAACCAGCCTACTGAATTGTCTAATCTGTAGCAAGCCTACTGAATTGTCTAATCTGTAACCAGCCTACTGAATTGTCTAATCTGTAGCAAGCCTACTGAATTGTCTAATCTGTAGCAAGCCTACTGAATTGTCTAATCTGTAGCAAGCCTACTGAATTGTCTAATCTGTAGCAAGCCTACTGAATTGTCTAAACTGGTTAACAAGCCTACTGAATTGTCTAAACTGTTTAACAAGCCTACTGAATTGTCTAAACTGGTTAACAAGCCTACTGAATTGTCTAAACTGGTTAACAAGCCTACTGAATTGTCTAAACAGTAACATGCCTACTGAATTGTCTAAACTGTAGCAACCCTACTGAATTGTCTAAACTGTAACAAAAGCCTACTGAATTGTCTAATCTGTAGCAAGCCTACTGAATTGTCTAATCTGTAGCAAGCCTACTGAATTGTCTAATCTGTAGCAAGCCTACTGAATTGTCTAATCTGTAGCAAGCCTACTGAATTGTCTAAACTGTAACAAGCCTACTGAATTGTCTAAACTGTAACAGCAATTTCATTCATTAGTGCTTTCATTTTGACAGTTTCAGGACTTGATGTACATGTATTAAATTTTAGTTTAACTTGTTATTGATCTATTGAGGATTGTCACAAGGCAACAACCTCTGATCAAGTATAATTAGTTCCACTAAGAGCAGTAAGTAAAATGAGCTTAGATCCTACTAATCTACGTCAGCTGGCTGATGTATGTTTGGTGTCTGACAGAAAACTATGTTATGTAAAGCAGGCATGGCTGTAGGATAGCTTTATGAAACATATGAAAATAAAATATATTTTAGTATTATTTTGGGCCTGTTTCAGAGATGTGGGTGCCCTATTGTAATCATGTTGTCCATCTATCTGTTTTGGGTTAGTTTTGATATTTATATTGCTATGACCATATTTAACAAATTGGTATTTTTGTCCCTGATCATCAAACTAGTAAGCTGATTTTTTCCTGTACAGTTTGTTATATTAAAGAAAAAATGGATTACATAGTACATACTCTTTCATTAAATCATAGCTTTACTTACTCAACACATTCACATCCCTTCTCTATTGGATGAACTGCCAAACAAAATCTAAATAAGAGGGAGCAAAGACTTAAATCCATTAGTTAGAAATGTATCAGGAAGAGGTCAGTGGGGCCTAATGCACTACAAGATGTGTACTTTAAAACACAAGTACCCACACCCAACAACACAACAACAGAAAACTCCATTCAACATCCGATTTATTTGTTCATTGTCCAGGGTTGCTGGCTAATTAAGAGAAGTTACTAGATGAATTTCACACAGAAAACTTCAATCAACACAGATTTCCTCTAACATTACGGTTGCTTCACTCCACTAGCCAATTCTGCAAACAAACCATTCACAGCTTTTTGTACAAGTTTAACTTCCTTCATAGATTTTCCCTTTCACCATTTGCTCCGTGTTATTTGTTTTGGTCTGTTTTCCAGGTTATTGTTTTTATCAGTATTTCCATTTTTCATTTAATTTGTGCTTTAAATTGGGTTTTAAATGTCAAACACAATATGCCACCGCATTTAACGAATAAATGTAACATTTAAGATTGCGTTCAACATATATAGCTACATGCTTGAAGATTGATATGGATTTGCCTGAATATCAAACCACATTTTTACAGTGAATTTTAAACATCAAAATATGTTTACTTGTACAGTGAATTGTAAACATCAAATCACGTTGACCTTTACAGTGAATTGTAAACATTAAATCACGTTTACCTATACAGTGAATTCTAAACACATTTTTACCTGGCTCTACACACTTCACTTATAAAAAAAAAAAAAAATCTAGATTAACGAATGACGAATTTTTAGGACAATGTAATTCAATTTCTTGCCATAAAAACAAATGTTTACTATGAATATGTGTAGAGCGTGAATTCCATACTACTGGAGTCTGTGTATGGCTTCAGAGCCTTAGGATCAGCCGAAGAGCCTGGTTACTCCAGCTACAGCTGATCCAGGTGTTCCCTGTTGTTTTAAGGATAAAGATCTCTCTTGTTCTGTATTAAATTGTTCCAATAAAACCCCTGTTTTATAGTCAAACCACCAGGATTGAAAGTGGATGAACAGGTTTCCACTGAATTACAGTATGCTGCTGGTGTTTTTGTTTGGAAATGTTGATGTGTCTGCAATAGGAACATTTTGCACAATTGTAAATTTGATTTTGTATAATTGTCCGATTGAATCATTCATGCATTATGATTCCTCCAATTAATGGCACATGTTTATTTGTGAGATCTGTGCAAAGTTTTTCCGTGAGATAATTAAGATTATTGTGCCTGTCTCAGTCTCTGTTTACACCATACCCAGTCTTTTTCCATGATTGATGACAGCGCTGCTCTCAGCAGTTATTGATATTTTTGAAGTGCTGTTAATTTCTTTAATATTGGCTCAAAAGTGCAGAAATAAGTTAGACAAATGATTATTCAGATTAAGTGCAAAAATCAAAGACATAATGATTGATTCTATCTCTTGATAGTCTGTACTTGTAATATAAATTAATTTTTGTTCCTTTGTGATATGCCCTTCTGAAGGATGCAGGAGGTACTTGGATGACATGATTTTCTATAGGATGACTGACACAGGAAGATAGCAATGGTTGACAAAGGGTGATAGCAATGGTTGACAAAGGGTGATGGCAATGGTTGACAAAGGGTGATAGCAATGGTTGACAAAGGATGATAGCAATGGTTGACAAAGGATGATAGCAATGGTTGACAAAAGGTGATAGCAATGGTTGACAAATGGTGATAGCAATGGTTGACAAAGGATGATAGCAAGGGTTGACAAAGGGTGATAGCAATGGTTGACAAGGGATGATAGCAATGGTTGACAAAGGCTGATAGCAATGGTTGACAAAGGGCGATAGCAATGGTTGACAAAGGGTGATGGCAATGGTTGACAAAGGATGATAGCAAGGGTTGACAAAGGGTGATAGCAATGGTTGACACAGGGTGATAGCAATCGTTGACAAAGGGTGATAGCAATGGTTGACAAAGGATGACAACAATGGTTGACATAGACAAGATTGATAGGACTTTTTTTAACCAAATGTTTGCATGACTATTGATCATATGACTCCATTGGTTGAAAAAGAATGACATAGTTAATAAAAAAGATTGTATACCAGTGGCTTACAGGATGATAGCAGTGGTGGACATGACTAATGTGTCCACTATGAAAAGTAATTAACTGGCTTGAACATTTTAATTGTTCAATCAGGTTATTTGTGTAATGTCATCTTATGTTGATAATGTTTGTTTATTGATCCTATAGGGTTTAGGATGAAGGCTGTCTGTATTATCCCTCCAGAGCCTATAGGGTTTAGGATGAAGGCTGTTTGTATTATCTCTCCAGACCCTATAGAGGTTAGGATAAAGGCTGTTTGTATTATCGCTCCAGACCCTATAGAGGTTAGGATTAAGGCTGTTTGTATTATCCCTCCAGAGCCTATAGAGGTTAGGATGAAGGCTGTTTGTATTATCCCTCCAGAGCCTATAGAGGTTAGGATGAAGGCTGTTTGTATTATCTCTCCAGAGCCTATTGAGGTTAGGATGAAGGCTGTTTATATTATCCCTCCAGAGCCTATAGAGGTTAGGATGAAGGCTGTTTGTATAATCCCTCCAGAGCCTATAGAGGTTAGGATGAAGGCTGCTTGTATTATCCCTCCAGAGCCTATAGAGGTTTGGATGTCAGTTTGGTAGACTTGTAAGTTTTGTTTCCTCCCTCTCTTCCATCCACCAGCCCTAACTTTCCACACTCACCTTTTGGTACGTCCTTAAGCTATTATTAAAAACGTAACGTCCACCTCCTTATTATCTACAAAGCAATTATTTACCAGTTTCCTTGTTTAGATCTATGATTCTGTTGGTCATTTCGTCCTTGAAGATCAATAATTATAAATCTGTCTGGTCAGTGATGGCTGGGCTGGTCAGTGATGGCTGGCCGGTCAGATTGAGCCTGTGATGACAGAAGATCAGTGCGATGGATGTGATTGGTGTTGTGACTAGCAGGACTGGCTTGTGGGAGTAATCAGGCGTGTGATATGTAGGAGAACAGCTGTGTAGTGCCGCCCCTGATTTCCTAGTCAATCTATAACGGGACAGACCCTGTGTTCCCTTTGTCCCTCCCTCACTTGTCATACTCCAAGCTTAAAACATTGTTTTCCGCTGAATTGCTACCGATAAAAGTAAACTGGTTGAAATGTCCCTTAAGTTGAATTGACTATGATGAATGATAACAACAGGGGGACATTGATCAGTGTGTATGAAGTAAGAGCCATCGATTCCCACCACACTGGCTACAACTGCTGGTGAACACACAGCACTGAGGGTAGCGCTACTGTGCAGGCAAAGCTTGGATACTGCTTAAGTGTTGGAAAATCTTCATCTGTTCTATATGGAACTTTTTCTCTGGTAGGTTACCTTTGGTCTTCATTACTAAAGGCAAGTTATGTAAACTACAGCTTTACTGTAAGTGCAACCTTAAGGATTGCTGCTGGCAAGTTATTTGAACTTCAGGACAACTTTTAAGAAATTGTGTGGACTACAAGATTACTGCTGGCAATTTATGGGAACTAAGGATTACGTCTTTCATTGCTTGTTATGCTTATCAAAGACATTCTGACCTACAATTGTATATGTTATTGTAGCAGGAGAAATCTTTGACATTCCTGATTTCATTGGATTGATGTTGAAGTCATCCAATTATACTTTGTGATGACTCCTTACTGATGGGGATTGTGATCATGATTTATATGTTAATTGTATTCTTTCCACTGATATTGACATTGTTCTCAGTTAAATACATTGTATCACCTTTTCCTCCTAACATACCCTCTTTTGAGTTAGATAACATGTGTTTTTATGTGATGTGTGTTACCTTGTGATTTATTTTGACAACTGGGCATTAAACTTAACAGATTTAACAATTTATAACAGTTAAAATGACCAGGTGCAGGCCTAGAGGTCCATGACAACGTTATATTACTTACTGCTGGTATATGTTACATACCTGTGTATGTTACCTGGTATACCTGTGTATGTTACCTGGTATATGTTACATACCTGTGTATGTTACCTGGTATATGTTACATACCTGTGTATGTTACCTAAGTGGGATGGCCTATGTTAATATGAAATTCTGCTTTGAACTGTTAATATGTAAAAAAAAAAGTTGACATATTTTTTTTGCTTACAGAACTATAGTGATTCAGCTACGTACAATGTACTGGACTTGAAACAAATAGAAAATAATGGCTCTAGCTTATCATACACAAACATAAAATATAGGCACTGTAACTCTATTGAGATATCCTCACTTCTGGAAGTCCACGTCAATTGACTTTTCAGTAATGTTGTAATACACAGATTTCTTCAAGTATAAGGTTGTGATGACATTTTTTGACATTGTGACTTGATTCAGGCATGAATACAATTGTTGGGAAGTTATTAAGATTTGATGACTTTTTAATGATTTTTGAGTTGTAGAAATGAGTTGATTCGGAATAGTGATGTGTCACCGTAGTTCCCTACCCAGTCTGATTGAGTTACTTTGATTTGGCCATCATAAGAAGACCAATATATGATAATTACCTACAGACTGTGTGAGATATATCTCTAGTAAATTATACAGGATCTATGTCAGGGCCGAGGACAATAATGTAATCACCGCTATTCACACAAATGGATGTTAGTGGAACATACAAGCACAGACTAGGGATGGACATGATTACAGAGTGCCCTATTAGCAAGTCAAGAGTTGTGATGTCCGAGGGAGGCTCCGAGTTAGCGACACCAGAATTAGGTTAAGTGTTAGCAAGTGAACAGACAAGTCATATGGGGTGAAATTGATGTTCATGTTCATGTCCATGACGTCAAATCTGGTACAATAATTGTATAATTTCTCTTCCACATTGTCAGGTCCTCCTTGCCAGTGCATCCAAGTCCACTAAGACGACCCTCGGGAGGCTTGGGATCTTCACTGTGACGTCCTTCCATGCTCTTGTGTGTGCCAGGAAGCCGCTTGTGGTACCCAACATCTATGGCAAAGGTCACCACAAGGGGGGAATGCTCTCCCCACGGGGGGATGGCACCTTTAGATACAACATAAAGCCAAGCCCTTCAAAGAGCCTCAGTACTGAGTAAGTATGAGTTGTCAACAGTAAATATTAGGTCTGANGAGCCCGTCAAAGAGCGTCAGTACTGAGTAAGTATGAGTTGTCTACAGTAAATATTAGGTCTTATGTACAAGGTAGCTCCAGTACTGAGTAAGTATGAGTTGTCTACAGTAAATATTAGGTATTATGTACAAGGTAGCTCCAGTACTGAGAAAGTATGAGTTGTCTACAGTTAATATTATGTCTTATGTACAAGGTAGCTCCAGTACTGAGTAAGTATGAGTTGTCTACAGTAAATATTGGGTCTTATGTACAAGGTAGCTCCAGTACTCAGTAAGTATGAGTTGTCAACAGTTAATATTAGGTCTTATGTACAAGGTAGATCCAGTACTGAGTAAGTATGAGTTGTCTACAGTAAATATTACGTCTTATGTACAAGGTAGCTCCAGTAATGAGAAAGTATGAGTTGTCTACATTTAATATTATGTCTTATGTACAAGGTAGCTCCAGTACTGGGTAAGTATGAGTTGTCAACAGTAAATTTTAGGTCTTATGAACAAGGTAGCTCCAGTACTGAGAAAGTATGAGTTGTCAACAGTAAATAGTTGGTCTTATGTACAAGGTAGCTCCCGTACTGAGTAAGTATGAGTTGTCGACAATAAATAGTAGGTCTTATGAACTAGGTAGCTCCAGTACTGAGTAAGGATGAGTTGTCAACAGTAAATAGTTGGTCTTATGGACAAGGTAGCTCCAGTACTGAGTATGTATGAGTTGTCAACAGTAAATAGTAGGTCTTATGAACAAGGTAGCTCCAGTACTGAGAAAGTATGAGTTGTCAACAGTAAATATTAGGTCTTATCTACAAGGTAGATCCAGTACTGAGTAAGTATGAGTGGTCAACAGTAAATATTAGGTCTGATGTACAAGGTAGCTCCAGTACTGAGTATGTATGAGTTGTCAACAGTAAATATTAGGTCTTATCTACAAGGTAGATCCAGTACTGAGTAAGTATGAGTTGTCAACAGTAAATTTTAGGTCTTATGTACAAGGTAGCTCCAGTACTGAGTAAGTATGAGTTGTCAACAATAAATAGTAGGTCTTATGAACAAGGTAGCTCCAGTACTGAGTAAGTATGAGTTGTCAACAGTAAATATTAGGTCTTATGTACAAGGTAGATCCAGTACTGAGTAAGTATGAATTCTATACAGTAAATATTTTGTCTGATAAAGGTGAAACCCTGGGGTCCAGTATTTCCCACACAAAAAAATATTTAAGGTTCCAGGATCATTACACTGCAATGGTTTATATCCCAATAAACAGTTATTGAGTATGAAGAGAAGAACTGAATTCTGTTCTCGAGATTGGTCTGGGGTCTGGCTCTGCCCCAGGGAACTCTGTTCCTTGGTTGTAACATGGAAATGTTTATGATCCCCACTCTAGAAGTTCATATATACAGTTGCTGGGCATGAGGAGATAAATACAGTCATACTACCAGAATAAGCCCAGAGGTCTTGCCTAGCCCTGGAGAATAAGTCCCTGGGTCATAACATGGAAACATTTCAAATTCCCTCCTTTTAACTCAATGTGCGTATATGATCTAATCCACATTTCCTATGAAGCATCCTTGGTCCCTTTGTATTGTTATGTAAATAGAGTGTGTAGCTTCCCCGGGGTCTTGGCACAAAGTGAGGAAATTCAGGTTTTAAGTTTTTGAAAGCTATTAGAGACAGAGCCAAAATTTAAAAAAAATAAAATCAGTGTTATATTAAAGAGAATATTTTTTTAGCATTGCTTAGATATCAAGGTGAGCAATACAGGTCTTCTGGGCCTCTTGCCATATCATTTTTTCACTTAATTGAATTTAATGAAATCCATATTTACATCCCAGGTTAGATACAGTTGGTTTTGATTAAACAATTGCTATTCTCTGACATATGTAGACATCTGCAGACAACAACTCAACATGATTTCAATTTGTATCAATTTCTCCTCTGTAAATAATTGAGGATGTCTGATATTGCGGTGTATTTTGCAGAGAATCCATTTAGATAACAGCTGTTTTCTTCCTGAACACAAAACCATCAGGTCTTTTTTTAAATCAATAGTTTTAGCTTGAATGTGAAGAAATCTTCAGATTAATCTTAAATACTTCTGGTCTCATGGGAGGGGCAAGATCACGCAACCTGTATTTAGGTCTAGATCGTGTGTCCTGTATGGGCATAGGTATGAGGAGGGATGTGATGTCTCAGTCTTACATACACAGTCTAGGTAAGGGAATGGTTTATCATCCTGCCATCATCATAGATCACTTAACATATTCTGTCAGGATTTTATTAAAAAGGATGATATGGAAGGGGAATCAATTTTGGATATGATCTGATTTTTATTTCAAGTGTATGAAAATGGGATACAAAAACAAAACAAAAAAATCTTTGACTGATGAAGTTGTGATAAGGATCTCATAAATTCTATTTAAATTTTAACTTTTTCTATCCATAAAATATTCTGTCATGTTAAAACTTTCACTATTCATTCTGCATCTAGTGGCAAATGTAACCTGGTTAGGAACGCCAAGTTAGGCAGTACAGAACTTGATAATGATATGACACACTATGGTCAGGAACACCAAGTTAGGCAGCACAGAACTTGATAATGATATGACATATACTATGGTCAGGAACGCCAAGTTAGGCAGTACAGAACTTGATAATGATATGACACACTATGGTCAGGAACACCAAGTTAGGCAGTACAGAACTTGATAATGTTATGACACACTATGATCAGGAACGCAAAGTTAGGCAGTACAGAACTTGATAATGATATGACACACTTTTGTAATTGGAACTGAAGCGTGGCACTCACAGAGTTCAAAAGTAGGTTTTCTACATCAGGTAATGCTCGTTTGCTCTGTTTGGAAGAGTAAGCAAACATGACCAAACATTTGAATTCTCCTATACATCCATTTCAACTGTTTTATAGAGGATCGTACTGCCCAAACCATCACAGTGTCTGTTTCCAAGAGTAAAAACTTGTTTAAGGAATAAAATGTTGCCGATGAGAGATTAATTATATTGTGAAGAATGAGAGGAAATGTCAGAATACCTGATGCTTATAACCATAGAACAGTTCCAAGTGGACTCCAGTCACATATTTTTACCTTGCTGTCAACAGTTGGTGTCAATTAAAACCCAATATCATCTACACTCTCTGTGACGATTCAGGTAGTATAGTTAGCTTGGCAAACTTCTCCGACATTTCAGTTTGTTTTTTGGTTGTGTGTTTCATTTCTGTCTAAAAATGTTGACTAAACCAAATCTTCCCATAAATTGTTTTCAGTGTTTAAGTAAAAGGGATGTATATCAAGTCTTAATTATATAGCTCACAGACATCTTGTAGAACTGTTGCTACGTTTAGAATTGTATTTAGAATGTCTTTCCTAGTCAAGAACAGATGGCATTGTATTAACATGGCTGAATGAAAGTAGGTTATATCAGTAAAATAAGACTAGGACATTTAATCACAGTATAGATATAAAGCTTTATTAATCCACACAAGAGTGAGTGGAGTATACAGGACACATGGGTCTATACACAGCAGAACACAGACACAAGGAAAAATAAACACTTATTAGTGTTAAGTGGATAAAATAGTTTGTTGTTAACCACATAATTAGATTATCAAATAGTCGAGATGAATAACTGTTGTTTACTTAACAGGCCTAGAGGTTGGTAAGTCTTGTTTGTAGAGGTATTTAGTGTTGTTTAACAGAACTTGTAATATTTCAGTGGTGTGTACAAGGCTACAGACTTTGACGAGGTTGTAGCTGATCTATACAAGGACATACCTGATGGCATCTCTGACAAGTCAGAAGAAAGCGCCATAATGGAAACACTGTCTCGCATAGCTTTACCTAATAACCAGGTGAGTCTGTTACTTTGTTCTACCTAATCCCAGGTAAATCTCTGACATATACATAATTCTATATTTGTTTGCTTGTTTTTTTATTCGGTTGAGGTGAACAAGTCACTACTGGGGTTCAGTAAGATGTGTTTTCAAAACGGGTAAACTCCCTTGTCTCACAAAATGGGTAAATTCCCTTGTCTCCCAGAATTGGGTTAACTCCCTTGTCCTACAAAAATGGTTAGGTTAACTCCCTTGTCTCACAAAATGGGTTATCTCCCTTGTCTCACTCTTTTACCGGGCATGGGCGTCTCACAAAAACGGTTAGGTTAACTCCCTTGTCTCACAAAAATGGCTAGGTTAACTCCCTTGTCTCACAAAATGGGTTATCTCCCTTGTCTCACAAAATGGGTTAACTCCCTTGTCTCACAAAAGCTAGCCTCGCACATCAGCTCTGTCCCTTTTCAAGAAGAATGATGATGTAAATATTCATATTTATAAGCTTCCATTAGGACTAAAGTGTTATTACCCCATTACTCCCATATAACTGAGATAACATACCTGTGCTGTGATCCATTACAGCTATAACCAAGACCATGATGTGGGGTTATGTGACCTTTCCATTTCTGAGGTCCCCTGCCTAAGTTAACAGCCTGATCTTTTATACCGATACCCTGATTTGATGGGTTTTAAACTGTTTTTATAGTCAATAATATAATAATGGTTTCATCCCTGTATCCACTTCACTATTACATCTTTCTGTCTCCATTATAGTTACTTAAATAGTTACTTTATAAAGTATGTTACAGCTTTATTGAAGTCATTTCTCATCAGAATTTTAATGGGTGTCACCACACAGAATATAGTGTATTGGTAACAAATGATTCTCCTTGGTAAGCTAAATCATATAGCATCATTTGTAGAGATAGTATATAATTTTCAGCTACTTATTGGTGGTACCTGTGTATGGTCAGGTGTATGTATTGGTACCTGTGTATGGTCAGGTGTATGTATTGGTACCTGTGTATGGTCAGGTGTATGTATTGGTACCTGTGTATGGTCAGGTGTATGTATTGGTACCTGTGTATGGTCAGGTGTATGTATTGGTACCTGTGTATGGTCAGGTGTATGTATTGGTACCTGTGTATGGTCAGGTGTATGTATTGGTACCTGTGTATGGTCAGGTGTATGTATTGGTACCTGTGTATGGTCAGGTGTATGTATTGGTACCTGTGTATGGTCAGATGTATGTATTGGTACTTATGTATGGTAAGGTGTATGTATTGGTACCTGTGTATGGTCAGGTGTATGTATTGGTACTTATGTATGGTCAGGTGTATGTATTGGTACCTGTGTATGGTCAGATGTATGTATTGGTACCTGTGTATGGTCAGGTGTATGTATTGATACCTGTGTATGGTCAGGTGTATGTATTGGGACCTGTGTATGTTCAGGTGTATGTATTGGTACTTATGTATGGTCAGGTGTATGTATTGGTACCTGTGTATGGTCAGGTGTATGTATTTTATGTATTACATCCCCACCACCAAACCATTAGAATTATTTTACATTTTCACACATCAAGTCAACTCAGTGGATGACAGTAATCTGTGACTTAGATCTCAGGTAAAACCTTGTTGCTGACCTGAAGGTATATGTAATTACCTGTACAGGTATGTAGAGCCATTAAACTTGATTTTTTTTTGGCTATTTGTGAGTAATTGTAGAAGTTCCCAGAGGCTGGACTGTTATTATGGAGCATGCAGTCAAATACACTGGACAGACAAACTTTCATTTGACTCAGACAATTACAGTTATTTCCGAGCATCAAACAGAAATAGGTTCACACTGGTAAGCCTATAATGGTGTAATTATAGATATCTTTCTTTCGTTTTCCTGATTTTGTGATAATGATGGATGGTAGGACGCTCCAATGATTTTGTGGCCGTTACTGTAGTTTTCTCAGGGCTAAGGTAGATGTTTACCTGTCCAGCTAGGGAGTGTGTTATCTGGATTTGTGTGTGTCCAGAGGGCCAGCTGTCTGACAGGTACTAATAGTCATGATAAAGATTGGTGTAACATCATCAGTGGACTGGCTATTTTACATGTTTGGCTCATTATAAACATTACATATACCTACAACATTTATCTGGATATTTTACATTGTGATCAGGACAGGTAAGAAAGTGTTCTTACAATTATGATTTTGACAAATTATTCTGAAAGATGATTGATGCATTTCCATGTATATGTTCATGCATATCATTAGAGTTATTATTCTAATGGAAGAGATATGAATCACAGTAAAGGACGACTGTTTAGATCCAGAAAGTATTGCATACATATCTAAGCCAACTGTCCCCTATTAGGAAGGAAATGTTCATCCTTGATCATAATTTGACTTAATGAATTATATATAAGTGATTTAACCATGCACATGGTCAAATATTCTATAATTTTGTCCAATAGGGGTCAGAGTACCTTTTTTTTTCCAGAAAATTTTCAGATTTCTCCTTAGGTTTGTAAGTACCCTATTTACCCCATACTAAACCCAGGGGGCCAACACATCATATCTGTTTCAGAGTTGTGGGATGGGCTTATTACAGGACCATACAATAGCATTTGTTGACATTACTGCTAACCTGTGATAGATATGGCAGGTCTTTTACCGGGCATGGGCTTATTTTTAGATAAATATGGTATTAGATGTAATTGTCAGTTTAGTTGTTGCCTTGCATACATGTAATGAAGATTGTTTAGTTCTTATAATTTTTAAAATTCATGGTAAATGTCAATTGTGCTTTCAACTACATGAGACAGTAGTTAAAATTTTGGGTCTATACTAATAATAAAAGGAAGATTGATGTTGGCAAGTGAATGAGAATCAACAGTAAATGACAGAATGTTTCTCCATGGCTTACAGCTCTAGTGTGCAGTGCAGTGCAGTGCAGTAGATCCAGAGATGACGCATGGCAGTTAAATCAGTCTGATCTCACATCTCTCCATACAAATTCTAGTTGGCAGTGTCCTATCTCGGATACCAATTGTTTACGGCCATTCTGGGTTCTATTTATGTAACCTTCACTCCGAAATGTCCTCGTCTCGGAGATCTATGTTTCTAGCATTGAGCACACATCAGATTATGAGCTTGATGAATGGATGTTCAATGCTTCCGAGAATCTTTTAATACTTCGTGCGGTTTGGACATCTTAGGTGAAAGGTTAAGGTAATGTTCTCGATCAATGACAAACAGTAAACTACTGAAGAAGGTTTACTCCACCAGATTATTGGATACTATGGGTACAACTGATGTTACTGAAACGTCCCAGCCAGTGTAGCATTGTTAGATATGGAAATGACTTGATTGAGCTTTACAATGACACGGTCAACTCACAACATTAATTTCTAGTGTGTATAATCTGTTGGCAGGAATCCGACAACCAAGAACAACTGGTATATTGGTTTACCCTTGACCTTTAAGTAGAATGTATTAACATTGACCTTGAAATAGTTTGCTGGAGTATTGCTTCTTGGAAAACTTGGTTTATCTTTTACAGTTCTGAAAATGATCAAATTACTATGAAACATAGAACTTAACCATCCTAGGTTATATATTTGGCTTTATTTGATTTTGAAAATATATTTTCAAGAAGCAGTACACAACATGTAACTGTAACATGCCTTTACTGAGCTGGCCCCTCTGTAGAAACCTGAACAGTCTGGTGCAAGACAAAATAGGGTAAAGAAGTTGAGGTACTGTACAGCGCATTCATTTCTCATATTGGTCAATTAAAAGTTCACAGTTTTGTTCTAGAAATGAATTCATGTCTTTGAATTTCACACTGAACAGTTAATAGTCAAAAGTCCATACTAAGTGGAAATTGTATTCTCAGGGTTTATATAGCAAAAAATAACACTTCTGTGAAGGTAATGCGCTATACAGTATTGATACTCAAGCAAAGTTATTGCAAAACCAAACCAATTTTATAAAACATTGAAAATCATACAGATATTCAAATGTATAACCAGAATCATTAAAAGACTTTTAGATCTTGAAACATTAAGACAAAATTTTGTAACTTTTTAATCTAAAGGTCTGATTGATTTGGCATTTGGTTCATATAGTGACCAAACAAGCACCTGTATTTAACAGACAAACCACTTCTAATGGTCTACTGGTCAGTGTCAGCATGTCACACGGTCAGTGTGTCGGCAAGAAAAACCGTCATTTCCTGGTGAAAATAAGTTGAAACCTCCATTGTGTGAACACTATTCCTGTACTGTGGTAATATATGTGTATATCTCGGAATGAAGTGAAGAGCATGTCTACCTCCCCTACCCCGTGTGATCAATGGACGGCTCCGGTGTCCCTATATTGTCTCTGGGGGTGACATACAACTATTGGGTGGATTGTTAACCTTAAATATCCTAATAAGTCGCTCGCTGCCCTTAATGACCTCACCTGTAATTGTAAAAACACTTGTATTTGTTTTGCCCTCAAGCAAATGTATAAACTTTATTAAATTTTTAAACATTGCTTTGAACAGAATATTCATGTCTGTCAATCTAAACATTTAAAGCTACTTATAATACATGCTTTCATCGCCCTATACTTAAACATGCATGTTCTGTGGTCTGACTACAAGTGTTCAGATATATACTCACACCTGTCAAGTAGGGCCTGGGTATACACTAATCTGAGGGACACGGAGAAACAGCTACCTCTAGGGGTATTATACCAGTAGGGTGATTGGCGTTTAGGTATGTAGTGTTCTCACACATTTCTAGTGATAATTTATTTATAATTCTATATGGAATATCATAATGTATATTGTAATTTTGACATTTAAGATTGTCTGTCTCTAATTGAAATGGTAATATAATGGTAGACAGAATTTCCATGATTGTACAGCTCATTATAGAAATTTTAATTATAGTTATAAAGATTTTAATTACATATCTTAATTAGTGATATAGATATTAATAACAGTATGTACATGTCTATACCTTCATTTTATATAATGTTCATGTTTCTGAACACCTAATGTATCTAAAACACCATGCAAACAGGTAAACTATTATTATATTGTTATAGATTCATTTGTTTTCTCTTCATTTTTGATTTACAGCATATTTCAATGTGCATAATTTAATATCCAAGAACAAGCAATGTTCAGCTCCAAAATGACATTGTGTATGTATGTGGTGTCAGAACATACCTGTATTGATTAACAATATCAAATACACTAACAGGTACAGGTATTTCAGTATTGACTCAGGTAGACACGTTTACTACCGTGACGGTGTAAGGTAAATCACTAATCATCTTCTGTCATCATATACCTAATTCTCTGTGTATAAGTGAGAGTAGACACAGGACTATAGCACTGTCGACCAGTCCCAGTAAATAGTATACGGTTGTTATGTCCCCACTGGTCATCACAGACTGGACGTAAAAAAAACATAAAAACACCATCTGTGAATGGTCAGTGACAACTGTGTATTGTTTTTCAGAACATTTTGGTAGGAGTGGACAAGAAGACCTCAGTTCAGCACCTGCTAGAGTCTGTGTGTAGTAAGAGACAGCTCAATCCCTCAGACCATTATGTACGAATAAAAATGCCAAACGCGCCGCAAGGAAACTACTATATACCAGATATGCAAGACAACATTAAGAAACTGGTAAGTAATGAGTACCTACTGCAGTCACTATGTACTTACATGACCAATGGTCATCCAGATATTTTATGCATGTGAGTCATGATTGTAAGCAAGGTGGGACAGCGCAATTATCTTTATGTACCGGATTACGTCCCTGATTTCCTCTTAGCTGATGTACATACGCCTCCAGGTTCATAGAGAAGTTCTCCTGGTCATAACCCTACGATTTTGAATTTCTAATCAGTTCAGTGGCTGATTCCCCTTAAGATCAGTCCTTTAACCTGATCTACGGTATCATCAGAAGACCCACTGCAGGTCAGACTAATCTCCGACAGCCTTGCCATCAAATGTAATGACATTACAGGGACGGGATTCAGTCACAGTGGAATACCTAGCTCTGTGAAAAATTCAAGGAAGTCTGTTATGGAAATCATGCAACTACCCAGTAAAGTGTCGTGGGAAGTGAAAGGTCATAAACTCTGTCTCCCCAGTATACGTAGGCTACTGGTAAGTGTCACACAATATTCTGGTTATACAGTCTCGGAAGATGATTAAATTGTCTAACTCGGAATTTGATTATCAGGAGAATGAGTCCTCTAGGCTTAACAGAATGGGATGATGATCATAGAAGCGATTTGAAGACAGAAAAAATGCTTTACTTTCTATTTTTGTGGATCAATTTGAAAATTTTGTTACATATTTTTATTGGCTCTGCTTAAGAGATGCTGATGCCCTATAGTAATTACATTTTTCATTCATCTGTCTGTCGATATTTTCATTTCCAGAGGTTATCTTGAGCCTTAAAGTCTGATATTAATGAAATTGTACATGGTGATACACTGAGGTTTGGTCATTGTTAATGAAAATACAACAAGGGATATATATATGTTATACCTTGGTGTTGCCCTTTCCGACCTGTCATTGTTCATTTTGGTAAAGGGAACATACTGGATCTCCTTCTTAAATAGTGTCGTATTACCTGAAGTCACAAAATTCCAAAATGGCTGTCATACATCACTTCTGATTTACTGAGATCGACATATACGACTATAACTTGTTATTCTATTGGTATGATTTGGTTCCTACCTTGAGGATAAGCTACCTGGTGAATACTGCCAGTCTATGATATGTATAGGTATCGTTGATATTGAAACTCTACCAAAGGGCGTAGAGTTAGGGTCAGAACTAAGGCTACGACACGTTCTTGTATATGTAGAAGTGGGAAAGTGATACGAGGTCTAGACCCCATGATAGAAGATGACAGCCATGGCTCAGACTCTATAGACCCANACTCTATAGACCCCATGATAGACGATGACAGCCATGGATCAGACTCTATAGACCCCATGATAGACGATGACAGCCATGGATCAGACTCTATAGACCCCATGATAGACGATGACAGCAATGGATCAGACTCTATAGAACCCATGATAGACGATGACAGCCATGGATCAGACTCTATAGACCCCATAATAGAAGATGACATCCATGGATCAGACTCTATAGACCCCATAATAGAAGATGACATCCATGGATCAGACTCTATAGACCCCATAATAGAAGATGACATCCATGGATCAGACTCTATAGACCCCATAATAGAAGATGACATCCATGGATCAGACTCTATAGACCCCATAATAGACGATGACAGGCATGGATCAGACTCTATAGACCCCATGATAGACGATGACAGCCATGGATCAGACTCTATAGACCTCATGATAGACGATGACAGCCATGGAACAGCCTCTATAGACCCCATGATAGACGATGACAGCAATGGATCAGACTCTATAGAACCCATGATAGACGATGACAGCCATGGATCAGACTCTATAGACCCCATGATCGACGATGACAGCAATGGATCAGACTCTATAGAACCCATGATAGACGATGACAGCCATGGATCAGACTCTATAGACCCCATGATAGACGATGACAGCAATGGATCAGACTCTATAGAACCCATGATAGACGATGACAGCCATGGATCAGACTCTATAGACCCCATGATAGAAGATGACAGCCATGGATCAGACTCTATAGACCCCATAATAGAATATGAAAGCCATGGATCAGACTGGCTGAGACCTGTTAAACTATAGCTTCTTATCTGTTGAGTTTTGTTTTTGGTAATTAACAGATAGCCTACAGAAATATTGCTGTATTGCCAATATTTTGAAATCCAAAATGAGTCACTTTATGTGCCAAAACTAATGTTTTTATGCTTCTAATTTTCATTTATGTAAATTCAGTGGTTGAATTGCGCTGAGTCAGCTATTTATATGCTGATCTCATTATCATAAAGTAATAAATTTTCATTTTCAATCCTTTGAAATAATTTAATAAAATAAAATCTAAAATCCTGATTATTTTCAGCTGGATTGCTTAAGTTGTGCTGATATGTTCAAACTTGATTGTTCATAAGAAAGTTTTCATGAAAATAACAGACCATTTTTACGCTAATTCATTATGCGTCATAGAATCAGCAACAATTTGTATTGATCGATGATTCTGTCAAAAACTATAACAAACCATAATGTCTATCATTATATGTGTTAATATTACCATGGAAACCAATTTAACCACTCTGTAACCATGTTTCAAATTAACAAATGTTGAATTATTAAATGAAATATTTCAAAACACCATCTAAGAGATAGATGTTCAAGAAGTTTTTTATAGAAAATTTTACTATAATGCATTTCTCTTGATGGTGATCAGAAAAAAATTGTAAGGTTCATAGGTGATAAGTGACAAAATATGGTGTTTTGTAGGACATAGTGATAAGTAACAAAGTGTTGGGTTTGTACAACATGGTGATAAGCGACAAAGTGTAGGGTTTGTAGGACATGATGATAAGTGACAAAGTGTATGGTTTGTAGGACATGGTGATAAGTGACAAAGTGTATGGTTTGTAGGACATGGTGATAAGTGACAAAGTGTGGTATCTGTAGGACATGGTGATAAGTGACAAAGTGTGGGGTATGTAGGACATGGTGTGTGACAAAGTGTGGGGTCTGTATTAAATGGTGAGTGACAAAGTGTGGGGTCTGTATTAAATGGTGAGTGACAAAGTGTGGGGTATGTAGGACATGGGGATAAGTGACAAAGTGGGGGGTCTGTAGGACATGGTGAAAGTGACAAAGTGTGGGGTCTGTATTAAATGGTGAGTGACAAAGTGTGGGGTATGTAGGACATGGGGATAAGTGACAAAGTGTGGGGTCTGTAGGAAATGGTGAGTGACAAAGTGTGGTGTCTGTAGGACATGGTGATAAGTCACAAAGTGTGGGGTATGTAGGACATGGTGTGTGACAAAGTGTGGGGTCTGTATTAAATGGTGAGTGACAAAGTGTGGTGTCTGTAGGACATGGTGATAAATGACAAAGTGTTGGGTCTGTAGGACATGGTGATAGGTGACAAAGTGTATGGTTTGTAGGACATGGCGATAAGTGACAAAGTGTGGTATCTGTAGGACATGGTTATAAGTGACAAAGTGTGGGGTATGTAGGACATGGTGATAAGTGGCAAAGTGTATGGTTTGTAGGACATGGTGATAAGTGGCAAAGTGTATGGTTTGTAGGACATCGTGATAAGTGACAAAGTGTATGGTTTGTAGGCCATGGTGATAAGTGACAAAGTATGGGGTATGTGGGACATGGTGATAAGTGACAAGGTGTGGGGTCTGTAGGACATGGCGATAAGTGACAAAGTGTAGGGTTTGTAGGACATTGTGATATGTGACAAAGTGTGGGGTCTGTAGGACATGGTGATAAGTGACAAAGTGTAGGGTATATGGGACACATTGAGGACATGGTGATATTCACAGTGTTTGGTTTTGTAGGAAATATATAGGACATGTGTATAACAAGTTGTAAAGTCTCTTATCTTAGGTTAGCTAGCATTGATAGGCTTGTATTTATGGGACTAGTGGAATGATAGCTAGTTCCTCAAACATCATATTTACATGGGGGTTACCTGAGTAAACACCTGTCTGATCAGGTAAGATGGCCATCAAGGTCAAGGGTTCAAGGCTGCAGGTGAGCATTGTCTTAGTGCATACAGGTGTATATCAATAGACGACCCTTATTATAGTGACAAGCACCAAACACTGTGAATAGACAGTCTCAGATTAAATAGCACAGCCAAAAGTTAATCAGGTAAGTGAAAGCTGGGTCTATACCTGTATAGTGGAGTTCACTTAGTGTGTATACAAATTAAATAACATGTAAAACTTGCCAAAGAATCAACTTCCTTCCTGTCAATATTATCCTGTATTTCTTCTAGAGCATGTATTACTTTTGATACATCATAGATAAATTCATAGAAAGTAATTGACATCAGTAGGAAATGAAAATACTGACATGTTGCTAAAATTAACTTCTTGATGACGATCATTTTACTATTTATGATATTAACACATGTTAAGGTGAATGCTGTATGAAGTCGGGCAAACTTGATAAGTCATTATTGATGTCATTCCGTGTCGGGTCGTCAGTTACATGTTTTACCAAGGTGGGAAGTATAAGTGTGATTATATACATGAGAGGATGTCTGTGACTAAAGATCCCACATACACGATCAGGTATTCTGTATTTCACCCTCACACTAATGTAGGAGTACCTGTATATATAATAGTGAGAAGGTTGTCGTTATTTACACGTAACTTCTATAACATGGCACACACAACAGTTAAGTATTGTCGATATCATCAAGTTCTGATATAATCAAATTATTTCTGTGATAAAATGCATTGTTTTAAGAAATTTCAAAAATCACTTTATTGTAGAACTTCATGTATCACTATCAATATCATTGTATGGGTGAACAAGAAAAACTTGAGATATAGGTTGATATTGGCCATCACATTTTAGGTATATCTACGGGATTACTTTTCCAAAGCTGTTACATCTCTCATGTAGCTCTCTGCAGGGAATAAATGGAAGCAGTTTAGTTATTTATATACTTTATGTATTGATGAAAAAAGCCAAAGAAGCTGACATGGAGGTTTGTACTGAAACAATAGTTGTACCGTGTTGATGTGAAAAATGTTCAATAGACCAACATTTGGTGGAGCTGGGATCAAGTCTTGTACAGTTCCTTTTCAAAGAGATAGAGGGATGTGTTCTAATCTGATAAGGGTTATGGACTTGGAAAGACCTCAGCTTCAGATGTAGGCTGCTAATGTTGTTATTGGGAAAACACAAATTTTGAAGATACACGTAACTAATCTTTACATCTGTGCTTTGTATATTCACAGAAATACGAGTCCATAGAAGTTTGCCAAAAAAGTGTGTTCCAGCTGGATCTACAGAAGAGCGACTCGGATACAGAATTTGGGTTTGCTGTGGAGGCAGAGCTAGCAGAAGACATAGAGCGTGACGACGAACTTCGATTATATACCAGCAACGTCCTGCAGGCAGGAATCGCTCACCGTACAGGTAGGCTTCTTATGGGGATTACCTTAGTTTTGCTGTACATTTAAGGTTTTTACAGTGATTACCATGTCACCACTACCCTCCCAGAGAAATATCTGTCTATACAGGTAGGGTTCTTACAGCGATTACCATGTCACCATTACCCTCCTACAGAAATATCTGTCTGTACAGGTAGGGTTCTTACAGCGATTACCATGTCACCATTACCCTTCTACAGAAATATCTGTCTATACATGTAGGGTTCTTACAGCGATTACCATGTCACCACTACCCCCCTAGAGAAATATCTGTCTATACAGGTAGGGTTCTTACAGCAATTACCATGTCACAATTACCCTCCTACAGAAATATCTGTCTATACAGGTAGGGTTCTTACAGCGATTACCATGTCACCACTACCCCCCTAGAGAAATATCTGTCTATACATGAAGGGTTCTTATATCAATTTCATGTTACTGGAACCCTTCAGACCAAATTTTCTTATCTAAAACTGAACTTTTAAATTCATTTAGTATAAAAAAGAAACTCAACCTTTCGGTAGCCTCCTTTGGAGATAAGTAATTTCATTACAATAAAGGATTTCTTCAGACACCAAGTATCCGCTTTGTCTCCTAACTGAAATTTCCATGTAAACTTGACATGATTCAATTTGTGGAGGACTTCTTTAGAATAAAACACTTATCTTACGGTCTGCTACCCTATTTTTTTATGCGTCTTACTTTTGTTAAGAACTCAAGTGTGTATTTAGATTTGTTATTTGATTACCTCCATGTGAAATAACTGTTGATATCAATGTCTCCTAAAAGACATGGGGATGGGAGGTTTTATTGTCACTGCCTCTTCTTCCCTAAAATATTTGAATAAGGAATCACCTTCTTTTTACTGTGAGTAAACCTACAATACGCAAAGAGATGGAATATTGAATATTTAGTACAAAGCTCTGCAATAAAAAAAATACATGGAAGACATGGAAGATCTGAACCCTGACCTGTTCAGAATGTTTTTTAAATGCTCCTGGAACAAGACTTTGCTCAAGCTAATTGTTTAAAATCTCAGCATTTAATTAAAAATTAAGCAGTATTAAACTAGTTAAATAAGTTATGATGATTTATTTAAGCTACATCAGATGTCTCAGACTCTGTTTTCAAACCATCATAATATTGTGTCATGGCTGTAATTTTCCTGGCTGTGTATGACTTACTCCAGACTTACACTCCGGTTGACTTTGTAGGTCTAATTATTGGTGATGAGATACTGGTCATTAATGGTAAGATTGTGTCGGAGCTTGATATGGTGTATATAGAGGCCATGTTACACGAGTCAATGTCCCTTTGTCTGACCGTGCGGTCACTCCGCACACAGCCACCCCCTACCTCCATCGCCGTGGATCCCGCGGACATTAACCGGATGGTGTGTCCACCTCCACCCAGCCAGTCACGCATCAGTGAGAAAAGTCTGGGAAAGCTCACCGTGCCTGCCCCTGTAGGTAAGGACCTGTTGATACCAACAAGAAAAACAAATCCTGTTTTTGTAAAATCCTAAGTACCCTTTAATACAAAATTAATCAATGAACTAGATGGAAAACTGACCATGCTTGCTCCTATATGAAATTAAAGTAAGGACAATCAGTAACTTCTGCTATAGTGTTTAACTTGTGAAGGAATAGTAAAAGACAACCTCCTTTTGTTTGCTTCAGCTAACGGTGATCACAAAAATATGTCGTCTCCAAAGCATGAGTCAATGCCAAACCTGTCACCGACCCAGATTGACGCACTTGTAGAGGTAAGCTTATTACTCAAGGTGGAGGTCATATATTTAGACTTAATGTAACCTATACTCATAACAACTGTCATATCAGCACTTCATCGCTTCTGTTGATAAGTTTTAATCACATGTCTTATTTTGTGGTTTTATGAGAACAAAGACTTTAGCACACACAAAAATAAGGAAAAGATGACTTTGAAAAATAACTGTTTAGATAATTCAGAAAAATGAGAAAATACCCAATTGTTTGGTTTTCTAATTAATTTGTAATTACTCTTTGTACAAAACCAAATGAAATGGTTCGACTGGTGTTCTGTTGTGTTTTCCCAGAGTGCTGACCAGGTAACGGCCATCTGTCGGACAGGAAGTGATAATGCCATGACCAACACCGATATTGTCCATAACTACAAACCTCTATCTGAGTCCCAGAAACTCCGCAAGGTCATTATGGAGCTGATCGAGACAGAGCGAGCCTATGTGAAGGTAAGGTCAAGATCAGGCAGTGGTATTACAGAAGTGTATAAAGACAGAGCGAGCCTTTGTGTAGGTAGGGTCAGGCAGTCATATTACAGATTGGATGGTAAAGGGCACGTAATCAAACTGATTTTTGTGTCTAGAATATCATGATGTCATCTCCTTCTCTTTTTAAGTAATTTAATAATATATCTAATCAAAAATCTTGTGCATAGAATCCATAGATGTAAGCAAAGATATTAAATGATAGTTCATCATACAGACATGTTGAAGGGGAGACAACTCTAGTTATTATCAAATTGGGTATAACTTACAGGATTTGAACTTCCTGACGGAGCGTTATTTGGAGCCTCTGAAGCAGGAAACGTTTCTCACCTCTAATGAGATCGACCAGCTGTTCGGGAACATCCAGGAGATTGTGATCTTCCAGAGACAGTTCCTGAAGAGTCTGGAGGAGGCCATGCAGTTAGAGGATGAATTCTTCACCACAGATGATCCAAAAAATTACAGGGTATTTATCTCCCCCAGCACCGATTTATTTTTATCTGGTGGTTTTCTCGCAAAGCACCATTGTGTTTTAATGATATCGGTCAATGTTCTGCTCCAGGTGTAGATGGCATTTCATCCTTATCAGTAACAGTTCAAATGCTTATTTTCCAAATAGACATCAATTATTATTAGTCATGCTTATCCATACTGGTGTGTGTTTTGAGGACTTTCTGAAAAATTTAATAAAAGTTTGATAAAAAAATTCATATGAAAATTCAAGCATGATTCTAATATTTCATTAATTTTGTTGAATGAGAACATATTTAACTGCTTCATATTTCATTTCTTGCCATGACATCCATGATATTCATAACTTATATTATTGACCTTGACCTTTAGTATAATCTATATATATATAACTGACCTTGACCTTGCTCCCTATTCCCTTTGCCTGACAAGGACCTTGAACTACGGGTAGGTGGTGGTCACAATCCATTGTTGTAGAGTGCTCTTCCCTAGGTAGTTGGTGTTCTCTCTTTCCACCCCTTGCTATTCTACATATACCCTGAAATTTCATTTGGTGTATTTTATTTTTTCAATGTACAGTTATATGTATATACTTGGTTTGTGTAAGTGTCATTATAATCCATTCTCTTCTCTGTGCTTTCCCTCCACCCTGTATTTCCACTACAACTTCCATGTACTTGATTACAACTTTTCTCTGTTTACTTTATGAATTACTTCTTTTACCCTGTTTATTTAATAACAATCTTTTCCATTTGTAAACAAAAAATGTATCTTATGTTTGATTTTATAAATTAACTTTTCAAACAATTTTAAATTGTGGTTATACAAGTGCTTCAGCTACCCATGCTATTAGCATTTCACTATATACATCCATTCCCAGGTGTATTGACCATACATGCACTATGAATTGTAAAATTTCACATACATCTCATGTTTCAATTTCGTTGTTTTATTCTGTTTGTTGTTTATAACATAGATGTGCCTTTATTTGTATTGTTCTCCTGTTTTTCAGCGGGTATTGTTCTCCCTGGGAGGCTCCTTCCTGTTCTACGCCAATCACTTCAAAGTGTACAGTTCATTTTGTGCCAGTCATACCCGATCTCAAAAAATTCTCAATCCAGGTGAGCAACGAAAATCAAAAAAATGAGAATAAAATAATTGTAAATAATACCACATCGATGCTTAAGATTCCAAACAAAACAGTTTTACCAATTTTCTTTTTCTACTTGCATAATTATGTCAACCAGAAGAAATAGAAGTTTGATGGATCTGTTTCTAAGTGTTGTTAGAGAAACAAGACTTGTTAATTGGTAACAGTGCCACAGAAATCCTGAGTTTAGGTAGAAAAAACTTGACCTGTCAGAAACAGTGTCAATTTCAATGGAAATCTGTAAAAGCCTTGGATCAGAATTAACACTCTTCTCTATTTATATGTATGCTTACCAAAAGACACAATCTTTGACCTGTAACGATTATGTTGACAGATGCCAACGAAGCACTGAGAAAGTTCCTCCACATGAGGAATCCGAAACAACAGCACTCATCGACCCTGGAATCGTACCTTATCAAACCGATACAGCGAATACTGCGATATCCACTGTTACTACAGCAACTCTGTAACCTGACCGACCAGGACACCGACGAACATTATCATCTGTCGGGTATGTATCCCCTGTTACAGGAAATTATACAGCAACTCTGTAACCTCATCAACTCAAACAAACTTTATTATATGTCGGGTATGTATCCCCTGTTACAGGAAATTATACAGCAACTCTGTAACCTCATCAACTCAAACAAACTTTATTATATGTCGGGTATGTATCACCCATTACAGGAAATTATACAGCAACTCTGTTACCTCATCAACTCAAACAAACTTTATTATCTGTCGGGTATGTATCACCCGTTACAGGAAATTATACAGCAACACTGTTACCTCATCAACTCAAACAAACTTTATTATCTGTCGGGTATGTATCACCCGTTACAGGAAATTATACAGCAACACTGTTACCTCATCAACTCAAACAAACTTAAATATATGTCGGGTATGTATCACCTGTTACAGGAAATTATACAGCAACACTGTTACCTCATCAACTCAAACAAACTTTATTATCTGTCGGGTATGTATCACCCGTTACAGGAAATTATACAGCAACACTGTTACCTCATCAACTCAAACAAACTTAAATATATGTCGGGTATGTATCACCTGTTACAGGAAATTATACAGCAACACTGTTACCTCATCAACTCAAACAAACTTTATTATCTGTCGGGTATGTATCACCCGTTACAGGAAATTATACAGCAACACTGTTACCTCATCAACTCAAACAAACTTAAATATATGTCGGGTATGTATCACCTGTTACAGGAAATTATACAGCAACACTGTTACCTCATCAACTCAAACAAACTTTATTATCTGTCGGGTATGTATCACCCGTTACAGGAAATTATACAGCAACACTGTTACCTCATCAACTCAAACAAACTT